TAATCACCCATAACTAAACTATGTTTAATTTAAAATATCATGTTAGGGCACCTGGTTGGCCCAGTTAGTTAAGTATCGACTCTTGATTTCAGCTCAGGTCATGATCTCGCAGTTGTGAGTTCAAGCCCCACCTTGTGCTCTGTGCTGCTGGTGCACAGCCTGCTTGGGATTCTCTCTCTCTCCCTCTCTTTCTCTCAAATAAAGAAAATGTTAAAAAAAAGATACCATTTAGATTTCCACTTAAAAATCAAGCTCGAAGAACAAGCTTTTTAAAAAAACGTATTTAAACTAAAAACTTGTACATAAAGGCATCAAGTAGTTTCATAACATACTGACTCTGTGTGCAACACGGTATCTTTGGTGTTCATGTGAGAGTCAATCCTGATGCAAGGAAAAATGTAAACAATTAAAATTTGGAGACCCATTTGCAAAGGATATTGAACATACTAGTGGGCTGCAGTACCCCAGTGGATAGCCACTCCTATATTTTCTCATTATCTTACTATTCCATCCTATTTTATTTTATTTTTTTAATGTTTTATTTATTTCTATGAGAGAGAGAGAGAGAGAGAGACAGCGTGAGCAAGGGAGGGTCAGAGAGAGAGGGAGACACAGACTCTGAAACAGGCTCCAGGCTCTGAGCTAGCCGTCAGCACAGAGCCTGATGCGGGGCTTGAACCCACAAACTGTGAGATCATGACCTGAGTCGGTCGGATGCTTAACCGAATGAGCCACCCAGGCGCCCCAAGTCCTTTTGTCTCTTAATTAGGTTATAAGCAATTTAAAGTTGAAATATGTCTTTTGCATCCTGTAAATGAGTTTTTCAAACTCATTTGCGCATCTTGAAATCAATTTACCGGGTCATAATTGGCATTATATACACACCTATGTTATATATATGTGTATGCATGGCATGTAATGAGGGTAAATTTCATTTATGGAACTTTTAGGTTGCAGCAAAATATTTGGAAAGCTCTGTCCTGAAATACTTAGGGCAAGGTACATGAAAATCTCAGTTAGAGGCCGACTGTCCAGGAAGAAATCTTGGCAGTCTAGAATATAGCCCCCAATCAGAAAGGTAACAACCCCAAAAGTCATTTGAGTTACAGAAGTAAACTTTAGCTAAGATGAACACATCAGTCTCTACTTAAGAATCCAGTTCATCTGGGGCGCCTGGGTGGCTTAGTCGGTTAAGTGTCTGACTTTCGCTTAGGTCATGATCTCGCGGTTCGTGGGTTCGAGCCCCGCGTCGGGCTCTGTGCTGACTGCCAGCTCAGAGCCTGGAGCCTGTTTCAGTCTGTGACTCCCTCTCTCTCTGACCCTCCCTGCTCACGCTGTCTCTCTCTCTCCTAGAAATAAATAAAACATTAAAAAAAATTTTTTTTAAAAAGAATCCAGTTCATCTTATTTTAGACAGTCCTTAAACTTGGGGGCTGTCTTTCCTGCCCCTACAACAAATCAGAGGTAAGTTAGAACTGAGTGAAGAGGATTCTGAAGACAGCCACCAACATGGCTGTAATCAGAAAGCATAACCAGTCTGGAAAGGGCAAGGACACTACAAAAGAACTCCTAAGGTAGTAGTGTAAGCACTTGGCGTAGGGCAGACAGATGCTGACGCCTTCCTTGTCCCCTAGGGCACAGCTCTGAGGCCACAAGGAGCCGTGAGAAAAGCACTGGCAGGACACCCAGAAATTGGGTTGTACACACCTAACAGCATAGCAGGGGCCATGCGGCTTCAGCTCTCCCTCTGTCCCCGTTTCCTAGTCTGAAAAATGAGGTAGATTTGCTAGATGTTCTCAAAGTTTCCCTCCCCTTCAGCAGTTTTCTCATTTCATTGAATTTACAGCTAAGGCTGGTTTATGATATAAACATCACAATTACAACAAACCGGGTAATTGTTTTGTATACATTTTAAAGAAGTAGATGAGCAATTAAAACTGTTTCTTGGTGTGTTTGCATATTGAAATACTTACTTCATGTCTAAGCCTCTCTGTTATCTTAGTATTTTATGGTAACTATTTGAATACATGCTTGAAAATGTCCATAGAATTTGGCTACTTATATTTGGCTTTGTTTCTATAGGAATCTGAAGCTACTTAGCAGCATTTAAGGTATTTCTTCCCTTTTTTTTTATTTCTTCATTTGAGTTTTATTTTTTTTTATTTTTTGTATCTCCCAGATGGCTATCTAAATGCAAACCCAGTCCAGGCTTCAACAGCAACATTTTTTCTTTTCTTCAGCGAAGAGTAGAGAACGGAGACCAACTCTATCAGTATTGTTCACTGATAATAAAAGGCATATCTCTCAAGCAACAACTTCAGTGGGATCCCAGCAGTCACCATTTACAAGGGTTTATGGACTTTGGCCTCGGCATACTTGATGCCGATGAAACGCCCCTCGCGTCCGAAACTATTCTGTTAATGGCAGTGGGTATTTCTGGTCACTGGAGAACGCCTCTCGGTTATTTTTTTGTTAACAGGGCATCTGGATATTTGCAGGCTCAGCTGCTTCGTCTTAGCATTGGCAAACTGAGTGACATAGGGATCACAGTTCTGGCTGTCACCTCCGATGCTACAGCTCACAGCGTTCAGATGGCCAAAGCACTGGGGATACATATTGATGGGGACAACATGAAGTGTACATTTCAGCATCCCTCATCTTCTAGTCAGCAGATTGCATACTTCTTTGACTCTTGCCACTTGCTCAGATTAATAAGAAATGCATTTCAGAATTTTCAGAGCATTCAGTTTATTAATGGCATAGCACATTGGCAGCACCTTGTGGACCTGGTGGCGCTGGGGGACCAGGAATTAGCAAACATAGAAGGACTCCCACGAAAACTTGCAAATTTGAAACACCACGTGCTGAAGACTAACTGTGCTGCCCAGCTGTTCAGTGAGAGCGTGGCCAGCGCATTGGAGTGCTTGCTGTCATTAGGTCTGCCTCCTTTTCAAAACTGTATTGGTACTGTCCATTTTTTACGCTTAATTAACAATCTATTTGACATTTTTAATAGTAGGAACTGTTATGGAAAGGGACTTAAAGGACCTCTACTGCCTGAAACTTACAGTAAAATCAATCGTGTGTTAATTGAAGCCAAGACTATCTTTGTTACATTATCTGACGCTAGCAACAATCAAATAATTAAAGGTAAGCGAAAACTAGGATTCCTGGGATTTTTGCTTAACGCGGAGAGCTTAAAATGGCTCTATCAGAATTACGTTTTCCCAAAAGTCATGCCTTTTCCATATCTTCTGACTTATAAATTCAGTCAAGATCATCTGGAATTATTTCTCAGGATGCTTAGACAGGTATTAGTAACCAGCTCTACCCCTACCTGTATGGCATTCCAGAAAGCTTACCACAATTTGGAGACCAGATACAGATCACAAGATGAAGTTTTTCTAAGTGAAGTAAGCATCCTTGACATTTCAATTGCTCGAAGGACAGACTTGGCACTCTGGACTGTTCAGCGTCAGTATGGTGTCAGCAGTATGAAGACTCTTTTTCACAAAGACGATATTTGCCGAGACTGGTCTAATTGTTCGCTAAGTGAGGCGTTGCTAGATCTGTCAGATCACCAGCGAAAACTCACCTGTTGTGCCAGTTATGTTGCAAATAAGTTATCAGCTCTTTTAACTTGTGAGGAGTGCATCAGTGCACTCTATGCATCAGATCTCAAGGTTGCTAAAATTGGGTCTCTCTTGTGTGTTAAAAAGAAGAATGGTTTACATTTCCCTTCACAAAGTCTATGTCAAGTCATAAATATTTGTGATCGAGTTGTAAGAACCCATTCAAGAATGGCAGTCTATGAACTACTTCCTAAACAGAGAGAATTGTATCTTCAGCAGAAAATTTTATGTGAGCTTTCTGGGCATATTTATCTTTTTGTAGATTTAGATGAGCATCTCTTTGATGGAGAAGTGTGTGCCATCAATCACTTTGTAAAGTTACTAAAGGATATAATAATCTGTTTCTTAAAGATCAGAGCTAAAGATGTAGCTCAGTACCCTTTAAAACACCGTTCAGAAAGAATTGAAATGAAAACCTTTTCAAGGAAACACTGGTCATCTTTACAGGATTACAGATGTTCAAGTTCTGCTAATACCAATAAATTCAGGCATTTGTTAAGTAATGATGGATATCCATTCAAATGAGGCACCTAAAATAAAAGTTTCACGAAGAATTGTTGGTCAACATTTAAAGTTCAACCTACCATATTTTATAAATTGACCATTCTGCACAGTGACAAGTTTGTAATTCTGACTTATTAGAATTCCTAATTATGCATTTTATAAAATCTGCTTGTACTTTGGTATGGTTTGCAACATTTCAGTTACTCAGAATGTAGGAAGCAGTAAGTCAGTAGGAGCAGACCAGCCAACAGATGCTGCCTTTGAATATACGACTGTAAGACTGAGTAACATGACTAGACAGACTTTTCAACTTGTCCAGTCTGCTTTAAAACAAGAGAATAACAACAACTAAGAGTCATTAAAACATTGACTTCTTTTATAAATAGACTTCATTCCCTAAAAGAGCTTTGGTTTACAGCTCTTAAGAATGTTGACAGGAAAAAAAAAAAAAAGGAATATAAAACCTGGGATGTAATTTTTACTTACATGTGAAAATTAAGATGTGGTTTGAAAATTAGGCCAAGTGAAAATATCAAATACCACACAATCCCTTTGCCAGAGTACCCTAAAGTGGAAATACTTAGGCTTTATCAGACAGAAGGTAAACATGAGCCAGGAAATGGTTCCGGGTGCTACAACGAAGCCAGAGAATGTAGTCTGAGAAATACATAGGTGATGTCATTTTCACAATCCATTGTTGGACTTCAAAATACTACTTTAGAATAATAGAGTGGATACTTATTTGACTTCACTGGAAGAGCCCGATGCTCATCAGAGAGTGAGAAGCCTTATTTCAAGTTCTTCTGAAGTGTCCTTGTGTTTTGCAGGGAGGCTGAAATATATTTTCAGTGTTAAATGAATAATGGGACTTCACACCATGCAATTAATAAATTAGAAAAAGATGGTCAGTTTAGACTGGTTATGAGAATATTTGTCTTAATTACATAATTAGTTTTTTCAGAAATTTAGAAGCTTAAATGATTTGAAGATGGAAACATACTAAGGACAATTTTCTGCATTCTGTCACACCCACACTTGAAAAGATGAGTAAAAAAAAACATAGGTGAATGTACTTTCACATATGAGGAGTGTTTTAAATTTATAAAAGAAGAAACAAGCAGGTGATTCGCCTGTGTGTGTAAAACATCTACTCTTTGTGAATATATTCATGAAGTATAATTAATATGAAAACTTAAACCTGCAAAAGATTGACTAGGCAAAAGTTGAGTTTTATTAACTGAGATTCTCCTTAAATTACATATTTTGATATATTTCTGTTTTGTTCTACCTCAAACAAAGGTTTAAGTTTTGAGATGTAACCAGAGTTGTAGTATATTTTATGCAAGAGCTATCTCTGAGAAGTCTAAATATTGTGGGTTGTGTTTGCAATAGAATTTTAGATATACCAGGTTAAATATTATTTAAAGGAACCCTATTTGTAAATCACCACCTTTAACTTATTACTTCTATAAATCCAAGATTTGTTCAGATCTTTACTTAAAACTAGATTCATATCTGTAGGTGTCTCATGTTCTTTGCTGTTGCATTTGACTAATGTATACTCTGTAGTTTAAGAAATGAGTGTTTTGTATCATTTCTTTAAGTGCTGGATAAATGGGACAAATATTGACAACAGAAATATTTCCCTCACTGACTTTTTAAAAAGATTGTCTTAACGTTTTTATTCATTTTTGAGAGACACAGAACAAGGAGGGGCAGAGAGAGGGAGACACAGAATCTGAACTAGGCTCCAGGCTCCAAGCCGTCAGCACAGAGCCCAATGCAGCGCCTGAACCCACAAACCCTAAGATCATGACCGAAGTCAGACACTTAACTGACTGAGCCACCCAGGTGCCCCTCCTTCACTGCCTTTAACAGTTAATTGCTCTTGCTTTAGTGAAAGTGTTTCAAGTCTGATACCAAGTTTATTTAACACAATATGCTTTACAGCAGATTTTTAAAATAAATTATTCATATTTCATGAGGGTAATTTAGTTTCTAATTTCCACTTAGCACCTTTGTCCTTGTTTCTTCAGAGAAAACAAACATTCTCTTCAGAAATTTATCCTTCCTACTTTTCAACACATAGAGCAGGAACAACTGGATATCCACATGCAAAAGTATTAACTCTAAGCGTGTCAAAGACCTAAGTATAATCAGTAAAACTATAAAACTCTTAGGAGAAAGTAGAGAAGTCTTTGAGACTTAGATTAGGTAATAGTTTCTTAAATATGACATCAAAAACATGAACAACAAAAAATAAATTGGATGTCACCAATAAAACTGACTTCATAAGACACCATCAGCAGCCCACAGAATGGGAGAAAATACTACTCACACATCTGATAAAGGACTTGTATCTAGGATATACAGAGAACTCCTATAACTCAATAATGAAGGACAAATAACCCAGTTTGAAGAAATGGGTAAAGAACATAAATAGACATTCTTCAAAGGAGATAATGCAAATGGGTTGTAAAAACATGAGTATGTGCCCAACATCATAAACCATCTGGGAAATGCAAATCAAAACCACAATGAGGTATCACTTTACACCCACTAGGTTGGCTGTAGTAAGAAAGATAATAAATGTTGACAAGAATGTAGAGAAATTGAAATCCTCTTACCTTGTTGGTAGGAATGCAGATGCTTTGAAAAACAGCTTGGCAGCTCTTCAAAAGGTTAAACAGTTAACCTTATCACCCAGCAGTTCTGCTGAAAGGTGTATATATAATATACCCAAGAGAAATAACATGTCCATGTAAAATTTCATATTATAGCTAAAAAGTGAAAAAACCTAAATGTACAACTGATTGAATAAAAATGTGTTGCATTCATACAATGGGTAGTATGGTATGTATACATTATTCTTTATAACAAACTGCCAGAACTGTTTTTGTGAAGTGACAGTGCCACTCTGCATTCCCATCAAGAAATGTATGAAAGTTCCAGTTCCTCTCCTTTCTTCCCAGTACTTGGTATTGCCAGGGTTCAGTTTTGAATTAGCCATTCTAATAGGTGTACACTAACATTTCACTGTGGCTTTCATTTCCATTTTCCTAATGGCTAACAATGCTGAGCATCTTTTCATAGGATTATTTGCCATCCACATAATCTTCTTAGGTGAAAGGTCTGTTCAAGTCTTTAGCCCTGATTTTGGAAGGTTGCTTTATTTTACTGAGTGTTAGTTATTATGTATTCTTGATGTAAGTGCATTATCTGATGCATTTTGCAAATATTTTCTGCCAGTCTATGACTTTCCTTATTGTGTTTTGAAGGGCAGACATTAATTTTGAAAAATCCATTTTATCAATGTTTTTCTTTTAGGGATATTTCTTAGTTTCATATCTAAGAAATCTTTGCCTAACCCAAAGCCACAGAGGTTTTTCTTATGTTTTCTTCTAGGTATTTGGTAGCTTTAGGTCTTGCATTTAGGTTATGATCCATTTGCAGTCAATTCTGGTCTGAGATTCACATTTTTACATATGGATATCCCAGCACTGTTTGTTAAAAAAGATTCTTCTTCCCTGAATTACCTTTGAACCTTTCTCAAAAACTGACCATATATATATGGGTCTACTTCTGGGCTCTGTTGTGTTCCATTGATCCATTGGTCTGACACTTTTCTAGTACCACAGTGACCTAATTAATTAGACTTTATATGAGCCTTGAAGTCAGGTGGAAATTTCACCTTTGTTCTTTATTCAGAAATGTTTGGCTATTCTGATTGTATCTTTCTGTACATATTGTTTAATCGGCTTGTTGATTTTTACAAAGATTCCTGCTGAGATTTTGGCTGGAACTTTATGGAATCCAAAGATCAATTTGGAGAGAAGTGATATCTTAATAATATTGAGTGTTCCAATTCACGAACATGGTAGATCTCTCCTTTTTTAAAGTCTTTGATTTTATCAGTGTTTTCTACACTTCACCTACAGATCTTGTGTATGTTACATTTCATGTTTTGTGGTGCTACTATAAATGCTAATTGTAAAATTTGTTTCTAAATGTTCATTGCTACTATGTAAAATACAATTTTACATATTGACTTTGCTTAAACTCACTTATTCTAGCTTTTTTCTTTAAAGATCACTATGACTTTTGTATTTAGGCAGTCACATCTACCCGTACTGTCTTACTCATTTCCAACCTGTGCTCCCCCACTTACTGTACTTGACCCCCAACACAAAGTTGGTGCCTGGTTCCTAGTCTAGCAGGGGGAGCCTTCGGTCTTCACCACTTATATATTAGCTGAAGGCTTTTTAGTAAATGGTCTTTTCAGGTTGAGAATCCTTTCTCTTCCTGGTGTGCTGAAGAGTTTGTATGTGTGTATGTGCATTTCAGTCATAAGTGGGTCTTGAATTTTGTCAGATAACTTTTCTGTACCTTTTAATTTTGGGAAAATATTTGAGATATAATTGACATATTGTAATATTAACCCTTTTAAAGCATATAATTCAGTAGTTTTTAATATTTTCAAAAGGTTCGCTGCAACTTTTAAGATGATCATACAGTTTTACTTCTTTTTTATATCCATACAGTGAATTACATGGATTATTTTTGAATGTTGAGTCAATTTTTTATTCCTGAGATAAAGCCAGCCTGGTCACAATGCATTCTTTTTGTCTATTGCCAGACTTCATTTGATAATATAATCAGAGAATTAAAGTCTGTGGCCTTATAGTGAATATTACCCTGAACTGAATATATTAATGCTTTTGAGAAAAAAAATGCCTTAAATGCTTTCATAAAACTATTTACAATTTTTATAGAAAAAAAGCCCTTATACTTTTCACTTTATAAAGTAATTTGTATTATAAAAACCTCACATTTGGTCTACAGATAATGACAAAATCTGCATTAAGGAAACACATACACACACACAGTCCTAAGTAATTGACATAGTAGAAAATAACTCCAATAGTAAAGGCTTTCTAGGGGCGCCTGGGTGGCTTAGTCGGTTAAGCGTCCGACTTTCACTTGGGTCATGATCTCGCAGTTCGTGGGTTCGAGCCCCACGTCGGGCTCTGTGCTGACTGCCAGATCAGAGCCTGGAGCCTGTTTCGGTCTGTGGCTCCCTCTCTCTCTGACCCTCCCCTGCTCACGCTGTTTCTCTCTCTCTCTCTCCTAGAAATAAATAAAACATTAAAAAACAATTTTTTTTTGGTAAAGGCTTTCTAGTGGACTGGCTTCCTTTCCTTTGGGTTGCTCCTGCGGAATTTTCTACAGAAAATGCTGAAAAACAATGCAACATGATGGTAGAGGTCCTAGTTTGAAGCTGCGTTCACATAACGAGTATTCTCTTAGCTATTTGTGTTACAGAACAATAAAAGTAGAAAACTTTTCTATAGGTTATTTTTATTCACATTTTACATAAGACTTAGAAAATGTTAGTTGTCTGAATCAAAGAACAGGGAAGCTAAAGCAGTAGTCTCGCCCCTAAAGTCGCTGC